AGATTTTGGGGGGTGGATTTTTGGATGCTACGATGGGCCTGAATGTTGTTCTGTTCTCATTGAATCTGCCCAGGTGTGAAGCCTCTTGGATCTGTGACCTGATGTCTTTCATCAGGTTCTTCCAGTGTTACTCCTGCCTGTTGCTCTTCTCCAGCCCAGGGCTCCAGATGGCAGAATGTTAGGCCTCTCACTTCAGACCTTCCCTGACGCTTTTGTCTTTCTGTGCTTCGTGCTAGATAGTCTTTAATACATATTTTAGCGCATTAGTACTCTGATTATATGCAATGTGCTGTTAAATTCATACGTTGAATTCTTTGAGTTATTATGATTTTTGGTTTAGATTTCCACTTTTTAAAATGATTTCTAGGGGTGCCTGGGTGGCTCAGTTGTTTGAGCATCTGACTTCAGCTCAGGTCATGATCTCATGGTCTATGGGTTCAAGCCCCTTGTTGGGCTCTCTGCTGAAGCATGGAGCCTGCTTCAGATCCTCTGTCCCCCTCTCTCTTTGCCCCTCCCCTGCTTGTTCTCCCTTCAAAAATAAACATTTAAAAAAAAAAAAAAGGTTTCTAGTTTTTGGTCAACATCCTGGGTCCTTTTTATGTCTTTGAATGTGTTAGTCACAGCCCTCTTAAAGTCCATGTCTGAAAACTCTAGGAGCTCTGAGTCTGCTTCTCTAGACTGTTGTTTTGCTTTCTGTGGTGGTGTCTCGTCTCTTATGTCTGGTTGCTCTTGGTTGAGAACTGGATGTTGTGTGTGAGAAACAGGAAATGATGAAACATGATGAAACGTGATGAGAACCATGTTCCCTTCTGCCCTCTGCCTCCCCAGTGTCCACCTCCCTTGTCCCTTTGTCATCGTCTTCAACCCAGCATAGCCTGCAGACCTGAGTCGAGGCCTCTTCTCTGTAGGTGGATGATGAGCTCGAAATCAAGGCCTACTATGCAGGCCACGTGCTGGGGGCAGCCATGTTCCAGATTAAAGTGGGCTCAGAGTCTGTGGTCTACACGGTCAGTGGAAGCACCTGGGGCACAGGAGGGACTGCCTGGCCGGGGAGAGGAGGCACCTGCCTTATTGCCACATTCTTTGCCAGGGTGATTATAATATGACCCCGGACCGGCATTTGGGGTGAGTAGGCTATGTGTTTGTTTCTTCCTGTGTGGACCCCCTAGGAGTGCAGTGATGTACAGGGGTGTGCTGGGTGCCTTCAGCGTCCACCATGTGTCCTTTGTGCGTGGCAGAGTCTCTTCCTCCTGCTTGTCAGAGGGTCAAGGGAGGCTATGGCTGGGGTCCGTTTTTTCGCTCCTAAGCCTTGAAGCCTAGCCTTGCAGCCATGTGAATTGTCTACCTTGGCCCACGCCCACCTCTGTCATAGAGCTGCCTGGATTGACAAATGCCGCCCCAACCTGCTCATCACAGAGTCTACATATGCCACGACCATCCGGGACTCCAAGCGCTGCCGGGAGCGAGACTTCCTGAAGAAGGTCCACGAGGCTGTGGAGCGTGGCGGGAAGGTAGCTGGTGCACGCGGGGCTCTGGGCCTTGTGCCCACCCCGACCGTGCTACACGGTCCTTCGCCACCTCCGGCATGTCAGGGGACGGGTGCCATGTGTTCTGGGCATGCTGGGAGGAATGTGTTCTCAGCATTAGGAAGAAAAACTTCCCTGAAGACCACGGGGGTTCTTATTCATCCCTTATCTCAGATCCCAGCCCAGGGCTGGCCAGAGTATCCACGCAGTCAGTTTGGGATGTATTGTGGCTGGGAGCAGGACTTGAGGGCAGAGTGTGGGGGCCTTACCTGTGGCCTGCAAAGGGCCTCTGACTCTCGGGGATACCTGGCCATGCCCTCTCAGTGGACGCAGGCCCTGGCCATCAGAGCTGCCAGCAGGGCCAGTGTTTATAGTAGCTGCTTCCTGAGAAGGCAGCCACAGGGAACCACCGCCTGCCCACTGTGATCAGAGGTGGCTTTAACTTGGGTGGGCAGCATGGCCAGGGGTTCCTGCCTGAGCCAGCCTTGCCCTTCCCCTGCAGGTGCTGATCCCTGTGTTTGCGCTGGGCCGCGCTCAGGAGCTCTGCATCCTGCTGGAGACCTTCTGGTAGGTGGTAGCCAGTCGGTTTCTGGGAGCCCTGGCTTGCGTGGGTGCCAGCGGCATGTCCGTGTCCAGCTCTAGGCAGAGTATAGTCAGGGTACCTGACGTCTGTTGGGGCACCTGCCTGTACCGGGCCCCCCAGTCACGTGCCTACGTCCCCTCTGTGGGACCTGGATGTATAGGAGGGAGCGGGCAGGGGGTGATTCCTTCACGGATGCAGCCTGGGCTGGGGTGTGAGGGGGACGCGGGCTAGCCCTGCCCCGGCAGCTCCTCCACCGTGGCCCTGGCGCGGTCCGCAGGGAGCGCATGAACCTGAAGGCCCCCATCTACTTTTCCACGGGCCTCACGGAGAAGGCCAACCACTACTACAAGCTCTTCATAACCTGGACCAACCAGAAGATCCGGAAGACCTTTGTCCAGAGGAACATGTTTGAGTTTAAGCACATCAAGGCTTTCGACCGAGCATTTGCTGACAACCCGGGTCCGATGGTGAGGCCCTGGCCAGGAGGGGGTGGGGATGGCTGTCCTGTGCCCATGGTAGCCAAGTTGGGCCGGGGCAGCCAGCGTTGGCTGTCTACATGTGTGCACCTTCTCCGTGTCTGGGACGTGTGAGTGGTCCCTGCCTGCAGGTCACCCTCAGGGAGTGGGGTGCACTGTGCTGATGGAAAGATGGGGGCGTGGTCAGAAGATGGGGCCGGTGGTGGGTGCAGGGTCAAAAGACTCTGAGGGCAGAGGAGGGGCTGGACTCGTGTCCAGTGCTGGTTCTTTGGCAGGTGGGTGTCCACTGCCCTGACTGTGCCCTGACTGTCCCCTGCCTGCCCTGCAGGTTGTTTTTGCCACACCAGGCATGCTGCATGCCGGCCAGTCCCTGCAGATCTTCCGGAAGTGGGCAGGGAATGAGAAGAACATGGTGAGGGATCTGGGCTCCAGGTGTAGCTCCCAGGAGGGCCTATGAGGTTGGGCAGAGGTGGGGGAGCAGGGGCTCCACCCGGCTTGGGGGCACTGCTGTTGTCAGGACGGGGCTCAGTATCCCAGGGCCCTGTGTCTGACCCAGGCAGCTCCCACCCTTGCTGTGTGTTGGCCTCTCTGCATCGGGCAGTAAAGCCTTCTGGCTTCCGTAGCTGACGTGCTACTCATGCCTGGGATGGGGAACTGCTGGCAAGGGGAAGGGGCCATCAAAGGTTCAGGTTTAGACAGGCAGCAGGGGTGGGGTGGAGAGACAGAGAGGAAGCCCGAGGCAGGAATGGGGGGCGGGGGGTGGTGTCATCTGCAGGGTGGCCGCCGGCTCCACGCCTCACTGCCCCACAGGTCATCATGCCTGGCTACTGCGTGCAGGGAACTGTGGGCCATAAGATCCTCAGTGGGCAGCGCAAGCTGGAGATGGAGGGGCGGCAGGTGGTGAGTCCCCACTTCCTGATAGCTCCACGGGCCCCACCTTGGCTCGCTTGGGAGCCCTCTGAGCCTTTGCTTGTGGTAAGGGCCTGTGTGCACTGTGAATCTGCAGCTGGAGGTCAAGATGCAGGTGGAGTACATGTCCTTCAGTGCCCATGCCGATGCCAAGGGTATCATGCAGCTGGTGGGCCAGGCGGAGCCCGAGAGCGTGCTGCTGGTGCATGGGGAGGCCAAGAAGATGGAGTTCCTGAAGCAGAAGATTGAGCAGGAGTTCCGTAGGTTGGGGGTGTGTGGGGGTTCCGTAGGTCCCCACGGGATGTGGGGGGGGGGGTGTGTGGGGAGGGCTTGGGGGGGCACAGGGGGGTGTGGGCTGCCACGGGATGTGGGAGGAATGGGGGGTGCGGGCTGCCCGTGGGGTCAGCATGGGCAGAGCCAGCTGATCCTGACAGGCTTTCTGCCCCTCCCCCTCCGGCCCAGGGGTCAGCTGCTACATGCCAGCCAACGGTGAGACGGTGACACTGCCCACAAGCCCCAGCATCCCTGTAGGCATCTCGCTGGGGCTGCTGAAGCGGGAGATGGCACAGGGTACGCAGGGCAGGGCAGGGCAGGGGAGCGGCTCAGCGGGTGGACCCGATGGCAGCTCCCGTCCTCGCCCCTTTCTCCACAGGGCTTCTCCCTGATGCCAAAAAGCCCCGGCTCCTGCATGGCACTCTGATCATGAAAGACAGTGTGAGTGCGCGTGGGCGGGGGCACGGCGGGGGCGGGGCGCTCCATGCCCCCTGACCTGCCCCTGTCCCGCAGAACTTCCGGCTGGTGTCCTCAGAGCAGGCCCTCAAGGAGCTGGGTCTCGCCGAGCACCAGCTGCGCTTCACCTGCCGTGTCCATCTGCACGACCCTCGCAAGGAGCAGGAGACAGCCGTGCGCGTCTACAGCCACCTGAAGAGGTGGGTACCCGACCCTTCCCGGCCCTGGGGCGGGTAAGAAGAGGGGTACGAGGCAGGTCTCACAGTGTTTCCCCACAGCGTCCTCAAGGAGCACTGCGTGCAGCACCTTCCCGATGGGTCCGTGACCGTGGAGTCCATCCTTATCCAAGCCGCGGCCCACTCCGAGGACCCAGGCACCAAGGTGCTGTTGGTCTCCTGGACCTACCAGGTGAGTGGCCTCCAGGGCCCTGTAGCCGGCAGGTCAGGATAGGCGGGGTTATCCCATCACCTTGCTCTGCCCAGGTATGGTGGTCAGGGGAGGTGAGATGACTGCCCCCTCTTGCATCTGGCTACAGGATGAAGAGCTGGGAAGTCACCTCACGTCACTGCTCAAGAAGGGCCTACCCCAGGCCGCCAGCTGATCACCAGCCAGAGGGCCCTAGGCTTCCCTCTAGAGCCATGTCTGTGCCTCAGGTCTTCCCTGTGTCCCTGGATGTGGAGCCCACGGCTGGTCACAGCACTTGTCCATGAGGACACAACCAGCGTTATGTGCCTACGTGATTGGCCAGTTCTCGCTGAGGAAAGAAATAGGCCTGGGGACTTCATCACCCTTTATTTCTATTCCTGAGCCCCCAAGAGATGGGTGGTTGCTCCTGAGGTATTTTGTCCAGTAAAAAGAGAACCAAAGACCACATGGGTGTTCCCTTCTTGATGCCCAGACCTTTTTCCTGCGGTCTACCCAGAGCAGCCCACCTGGGGCAGACCGGGGTACCCAGGAAGGTGGGGACTTCTGGAAGGTATGGGCCAGTGGGAGGCAGGAAGCCTGCTGTGGCTCCGGATGGCCAAGTGCTGGTCCCTGCTGCTCCATGGCATGCAGAGCTGGGCAGGGTCCAGTGGCAGGGCCTAGTATGTCACAGCTGCCCTGATCTCAGCTGGGCATCTGGGGATTATCTGTGCCTCCCATGTGGTGAATCCTGCAGGGCACAGGAGGTTTTCTTCAGGGGCTGGGCCTGTCCAGGCCACAGCTTCCTCTGGGCTGCAGAGCCTCTGCCTGTCAAGGCCCTCCCCGCTCCCTAAGGCGAGCCCCCTCAGCCTCCCTCCCTACCGGGAACTTGATCACAGGGGCCGGGTGAGGAGTATGGCTTGGGTCTAAGGGCCCAGGGGAAGGAGACCCCTCACTCCAGGCTGCCTGCTTTTGGGAGCAGCTGGAGACTTTTTGTCCAACCTGGTTGGGGCTTCCTTGCCTCCAGGGCCCTGGCTTTCCTGCTGAACACAGGCTGGATTCCCACCTGTTAGGACAGAGGAGAGCTGCAGCTGTGCTGCTACCAGGAGCCCCTCCTCCCATCAAGCACCCCACCTTGGGAGGGGCAGTCATTGGGGTGCATGCAGGGACTTTTCCAGGCTGTCTACCCTTACCGAGACTCCCGTACTGCACTGACTTGAGGAATAAGCCGTGGGCCGGGGCCACACGTGTCTGGTGTCTGCCGAGGGGGTCCCGGCTTTCCAAAATCACCTTCACCTGAGCGGGCATCAGAGCTCCCAGCCCCACAGCCACCAGCACAGCTGTCATTCTCCGAACCTGCAATCCGAGGCCAAGACTGCCATAGTGACCCAGCTCCTCGGGTCCGCCCCCATCCCTGGAGGCCCAGGCAAAACCCACCTGTCTGTACAGAAAGGACTGGCTCTCAAACTCCAGGTTCCAGAACTGCAACCTAGAGATAGAGGCACCTATGACACCTGGGCCAGGACAACCCCCAGTCTGCACTGTGGCCCCAGAGGAGGGGGGCAGGGGGAGGGAGCTAGGAAAGACTGGTTTCCACTCTCTCTTCCACCCTAGGGGCTTCCATTGGCCACCCTGCCCTCAAGTGAAGCTGCTGGGAGAGACCTTGTGAACGGGAGGGGCTGCAGAGCCTTCTGAGAGGCCTAGGCAGTGGGGACAGGGCTCTCAGGTGGAGGTGCTGCTGAGGCACAGGTCCTAGGGCAGCTCTGGGGCAGGGAGGTGAGCATGACCAACTCCTCTACCAGAAACCCAAGGCCCAGGATAGGTGTTCTTCAGCTGATCATGCAGAAGTTCCTCCTCCCTTCAGTGCAGGCTCAGACTGAGAAGGTTTGGGAAGCCGACAGCTGACATCTGGCCAGAGGCCCTAGGAACAGTGGAACCAACCGCCTGCCAGGTAGCGCTGGGACCACTGGCCTGGTGCTTCTCTTCCAGCAAAGTGTTTTCAGCAGCTGCCAAGATCCATCTACTAGTCCACGAGCCGTGGCCGGACAGGGCTGGGAGCCCTTGGAGAAAGCATTCTCTGTTCCCAGTGTGGCAGGACCCCAGCCCAGGGCGGGGAGGGCACAGCTGTAGGTTCATGGTTGTTGGGGCCATGCCACTTAGCTGACTAGCATCTCCCCTGTGAGGTTGCTGATGGGCACCCAACTCCAGCTGTGTCCTGCACCACCCTCACCAAGGAAGGTGCTAAATCTAAATCCAGCTCCCCCAGCCTCTGGCCAGTGTGCAAGGTGCCTTTCATTACCTGTTCTCCTGGGGGAGGACAAAGGGGCTGCCTAGGTCAGGGGACACAGAAGCTCGGCGCAATGTGCGCACTGAGCTCGTGGCTGGGCTGCCAGCTGACTGGAAGGCACTGAAGTCATGTGTCCCTAGAAGGTGCTGGGCAGCCTCCTGCATGGCATCTACATCCAAGCAGCTGCAGGGAGACAGGTGAGTGGTCAGGAGGGAGTAGCCAGCCAGGTGTGCCTGGCAACCCTCTTCTGCTCCCTCACATCCACGCTCACCCTGCCCGTAGTGCCCAGCATCGGTTTCGTTCAAACACAGACAGCTGATCGGGCCGGTGGCAGCCGGTGGCCAGGCGGTACAGGTAGGTCCTGGATGTGGCAGCATGGCGGGCATGGAAGTCCATGGGTACTCGGAAGGCCTGCAGTACCCTGTGGGAGCACGATCAGGCATACCAGAATGACCCCTATGCACCCACGGACCCAAGTGACCCCTTGGTATCTCCATCATTCCCAAGTTCTGTGCAGACACCAAGTCCTTCCTGACTCGTGGTCTCCACCCAGAGTGGACCAGTTTGGAGACAGCAGACAGGTGCTCACCGGATGGCCGGGTGCCTCAGGTGGGCATTGAGAGCTTCAGCCAGGACCTCGGGGGAGAAGGGGGGCTGGCCTGAGCGGCGCTGGACGTCTAGGTGAGCGGCGTTGCTCAGCGCGTGGACTCCAGCATCCGTGCGGCTGGAGATGGTGAACTTGACCGGCACCACCGATTTCAGCCTCTCTGCAGCCTCCTGCGAGGACAGAGCCGCCTGGGGCGGGGTGGGCAGCGCAGGGCGAAGGCCGGAGCCCAGAGACCCCGGGGCTCCCATCTGCCCATTCCCCGGGTCTCCCTCTTTCCATTCTGAGGGGGTGGACGGCGGAGCTCACCTCCAGGTAGTTCTGGACCCCGATGGCGCGCTGGGAGCCCCTGATGGCCGCGACCCCGCTGCGGGCAGAGGCAGGCTCAGGTTAGCTGACGGAGGCCCGCTCCGCACAAGCCCGTTCCCTTCCCAGGCGTCGAGTCCTAAATTAGCTCCCCCGCCACCTCCCCGGCCCCACCTAGGATGCCGGGATACACTTGGGGGCCGCGGGCATGGATGGGAGGTCCTGAAGACGTACTTGAACCCCGTGCCCAGGTACTGGAAGTACACGAGGTAGCGCGCCCTCACCGAGCCTGCGGCAGGGCCCATGGCTGGAGTCGGCAGAGCCAGGACCGGTCGAGAAGGGCCAGGCTGAGCAGATCCGCGTGTGTGCCCTGCGCGCGCGCACGGAAGCAGCCTGGCCACGCCCCCCGGCTGCGCCTGCGCCTTAGCTTTCCTCCCTGCAAGGCACTCGCTCGCCCCAAGGCCGCCGAAGGCCAGAGCAGGGGAGGGGCCGGACTTAGGGAGCGGTTGCAAACTGCCAGCGGGCTGAGGAGCGCGTGGATCGGATTCGGACAGTGGCACCAGGGAGGGGCTCCCGCGGACGGGCGCTCTTTCGTCCGTCCTCTCGCCCGCTCACCCACTTCCCACCGTCCTGGAGTGGGTCCGTGCCCACGATCCGCGCAAGCGGTTTTCGCAAACGCCCCGACTTGCGTAACGGCCGCCTCGCTGGAGCGGGCAGTCCCGCGCCCTCCCCGCCCCTCGCGGACCGGCGACTGTCGCTGGGCCCGACCCTCTTCCCAGCCCGCGGTGGCCTGGGAACGGGGAGGCTGGACGACGGGGCGTCCGGGCCGGAGCCAGGCGTGGCCGTGGCCGCAGGGAGGGGAGTTTGGCGACGCTCCCCGGCAGTGACAGCGGGAGGCGAGCGCGGGCGGCGAACATTGGCGACGCTCCCCAGCCGTGACAGCCGGCGGCGCGCGCGGGCGGCGGACTTTGGCGACATTCCCCGGCGGTGACAGGCGGGGCGGGGCGGCGGCGCGGCGGCCTCATTCCGGGGCGGGCGGGCGCCGA